AGGGCTTTCACTTTCTCATGTTAGTTTATCAAACTTCATTTTAAATAAAGTACATATGATCGGCCACATTGGGTCAGACCAAAGATCCATCCAGCCCAGTATCCTGTCTGCCGACAGTGGCCAAGGCCAGGTGCCCCAGAGGGAGTGAACCAAACAGGAAATGATCAAGCGATCTCTCTCCCGCCCTCCATCTCCACCCTCTGACAAACAGAGGCTAGGGACACCATTCCTTACCCATCCTGGCTAATAGACATTAATGGACCTAACCTCCATGAATGTATCTAGCTCTCTTTTAAACCCTGCTATAGTTCTAGCCTTCACAACTTCCTCAAGCAAGGAGTTCCACAGGTTGACTGTATGCTATGTGAAGACCTTTCTTTTATTTGTTTTAAACCTGCTGCCCATTAATTTCATTTGGTGACCCTAGTTCTTATATTATGAGAACAAGTAAATAATTTTTCCTTATTTACTTTCTCCACACCACTCATGATTTTATAAACCTCTATCATACCCCCCTTAGTCTCCTCTTTTCCAAGCTGAAAAGTCCTAGTCTCTTTAATCTCTCCTCATATGGGACCTGTTCCAAACCCCTAATAATTTTAGTTGCCTTTTTCTGAACCCTTTCCAAGGCCAAAATATCTTTTTTGAGGTGAGGAGACCACATCTATACTCAGTATTCAAGATGTGGGCGTACCATGGATTTATATAAGGGCAATATGATATCCTTTGTAGAGTATTATTTTACATCCAACACAAAAAGTTTCAATGTTTTCTTTATTTATGGCAGGGGTGGGGAACCTTTTTTGGGTCGGGGAAGCCACTGAGCCACACAAAAAATCAGTTGGGGACCACACAAGTGAGAAGCAGAAAAGCCTCCTCCAAAAACCCCTAACCCTACTGATGGGGCCCCGAACTGAGACACCTCACTGCTCTGAGGTTCCAGACCCACTGAGGGAGGGAAAGGGGGAGGGACAGGGAGGACTGAGGTTCAGGGTTTCTCATAGGCCAGATTTATTCTTGTGGGGATACAGGGTGAGTGGATTTTCTGTAGCCCCCCTAAACTCTGGGGATGGGACAAAAATGGAGGGGTTCAGTGTGCAGTACAGGGCTGCCAGCGAGAGGAACGAGGGTGCAGGATCTGGGCAGGAGGTGCATTGCATGAGGGGGTGAGGTCTGGATGGGAGGAAGGGTGCAGGAGCAAGGGAAGGTGCAGTGTGTAGTCAGGAGGAAGAGTGCAGAAGCAGGCTGGGGGGAGGGTGTCTGGCCAGGGGGGAGGATGCAGGAGTAGGCTGGGGGTAGGGTGTCTGGCCAGGGGGGAGGATGCAGAAGCAGGCTGGGGGGAGGGGGGCTGGCTAGGGGGGGGGCTGTTCTGATTAGAGGAGAATGGGAAAAACCAATGGAAGGAAAGGAGCATGTTTTCTCATATGGTTGGGCCCTCCTTCATATTGCTCAGCTGAGGTCCTGTTCAGCTAGAACACCACCTGCCTCCTGGGCTGCTCTCTTGAGCAGAGCCAGCTGATTCTGGTCCCCACCTCCACCAGCCACTAAAAGGGCAGATCACATTCAGAGTTTCTGAGCAAAAACACCAGAATCCTGTTGACTGAATGATGCAAACAGAAAACCCAAGAACTTTCTGCCTGTGTCTAGACTGGCCAGTTTTTCCGGAAAATCAGCCGCTTTTCCGGAAAAAATTGCCAGCTGTTTTCACTGGCCCGTTTAAATTC